GCCTGTGCCTTGAGAGCAAAGCCACAAAAGCTGTCTGTACTGGTGGTTCAAAGCTGCTGTTGGGGTTGGTGCTGGAGGAGCCGTGATGTGTGTGGGTTGTGGCAGTGGGGGCAGCAACTGGTGCTGGGAAGTGAGAAGGATTTGCACCCTGCTGCTCTTGCAGTCCCAGCTCGTGCGCTCCTGGGATGGTGCGTCCTGTGGCAAACATCCACGTTTTTCAAGCACTCTTTGTGGGACCCGGAGAAGCAAAGAGGAGGAGGCAGGGAATGAACAGGGAGCGTTAACCGTAAGCTGCGTTCCACGAGCAGGACGGTGCTGGGGGCTGCAGCAGGTCCTCGAGCTCTGGAGTGCAGGGTGGGAGCAAACCCCAGCGCTGCCGTCAGCATGAGCTCTGCTGTGAGCAGAGCTGGGCTCACCGGCTGCTGGCCGGCCGTGTGAAACCCAAGCCCTGTGCCTCCTGCAGCAGCCCAGGGCCGGCCTGGATGCGTGCGCATTGCTGGGGCTGCGGGGCCCCTTCCCGGCGCAGCTGCTGTTGGGATCGGAGGCGGCTCCCAGCCCTGCTGGCAGCCCGACAGCTCCGTCCCCGGTATGTGGGGAGGGTGTGGGGGGCTGCGTGAGGGCTCAACTCCCCCCGGCATCAGTGGGGAGGGGTAAAGTAATGGGGGTCATAACAGGAATGTGTGCTGGTGCCTCATGGCTTGCAATGAGGCACATGTGACCGAGCACACAGTGTCCCTGCTGGGGGGGAGCTGGCAGTGTCTCTGCGCTCCTGCAATGTCCCTGTGCTCTCCTGCCCCGGTGGGGAAGAGGGAGCAAGATGCTCCAGGGTGGGGCTGAGCAGCACTGCAGCACACGCACCAATGCCTTCCATGCAGTGTGGTGTGTGAGGGTGCAGAAAACAACCAGAAAGACAGGAGGGCAGGGCGGGTGGCACGGGCTGTTTTTGTTGCGAAGCTTCCTGCAGTGCGTTTGCGGATCTGCACCCAGGGGTGCGAGAGGTGTGTGCAATCCGAGTGCAGGGCTTGGGGCTCAGCGAAAGGAAGGGAAATCCGCCGTGAGCACCGCTGCAGGCTGTGAGATAGAGTGTGGAAACCTGAATCTTTGACACTTCTGGGGGTGAGGGAGGGCTGCAGGCCAGCGGCCGCACCGTATCCATGCGGTACTTGGCTGGGTCTGGAGCGGGGCTGTTGTACACAGATGGAAGAGTAATTAAGAATAATAAAAGGAAAGAGACTTGGATTCGCTACAGTCTCAGCACATTAATTGTGCTTTGGGGCCCAAATCATAACGGAGTCCTGCTAGAGGGAATCCAGAAGAGAAACCAAACGTCTCGCTCTGTCCAAGGCTGACCGTTTAAGAGACCCTTGCCTTTATCTGCTGCCAGGTATTACTTCCAGAGGTTCCAACTTGCCAAAACCGAGCTCTTGTCTGAAATATTTTTAGTGGAGGAAACAAAGCGATTTGGTGCAGCTCTGTGTGGAGTGGTAGGAAGGCGGAGAGGATGCACTGGGAGTGCAGTGGGATGGGAGTGGGAGTGCTGCTGGAGGTCCATCCCATCCCCATGGCAGATCCTGCCCATCTATTGAGGTGAGCCATGGGCTGGTGCTGGGTGGGTCCTGTGCCGGAGGAGCGGGGTGAGCAGTGTCAGCCCGCTGAGATCCTGCCTGTGCTCCATGCAGGCTGAGCATCTCTTCTAAATTGACAAGCAATTACATGGTTAATAGTATCAATGTTAAATCCTCATCGCTCAGCAGCCTGAGGCTTAATGCTTCATTAAGGCAAAGGCATCTAATAGCTCTCCGGGCTGGGAGCTGTGCTGTCTTTAAGCCCGAGTAGAAGTGATTTGTCTGGAGGCTGCTTTTGTTCTCCTGGTCCTACAGGAGCTGTGAATCCCCTCGGATCCACAGGGACGTGGGAAGGTGGCACTGGGCACTGCTGTACCCGGCCCTGTCTCTGCCTGCACTGCTGGGCTGTGAGATCTGCCTCTTCCCATCCCTGCGTCTCCCCAGCTGCGTGTGTTGCTTTGGGGGTCTGCCCTGCGAGTCACCTGAGGCCTTAGGGCTGCTTCCATCCTACAGCAGCCTCGTGGTGCCGCGGGATGCAGGGATGTGGTGCACAGGGGGGCAGTGGGTCTGACCCTGCCTGGTGGCTGGCGTGTGGCTCTGCCTCACTTCTGTGATTGCTGTTACTGGCTGTCTCCAGCATGCCACCCAAGCGATAATCTTCTCATGAACCCGCTGTGCAGTATATGTATATTTATCCTTTCTCTCCCATGCGTTGCTTTGTGTTTGGTGATGCCATTTAAAATCTGTGCTGCGCATTGCTGCCACAGCTCCACACCTGTCTTAGCAGCTCTTACCAGCAATACCTGGACATCAGCTGTGAGCTTTCCTATCATTGCCAGGAAGGTGCTCCCCAGGTTGCACGCTGCTCCTGAGCCACTCCTGTGGCTGCTGATACATCCTCAGTGAGAAGCAAGGCGTGCACAGCGCCCGGTGGTGCACCTGTGAGCTGCCCTTCTCTCTTTGTTCCACCTGGATTTTAGGTGCGTTGGACAAAAGGACTTTTTCACCTGAAATATCCTTATTTCCTTGCTTGCGCTTCTCCAGCAGCCCTGCTAACCTGCATGGGGGCTGCTCACGGCGCGCTGCATCCTGTGCCCACAGCCCTGCAGCAGCCCCTCGGTCTCCCTTCGCTGCTCACATACAGCCTGTCAGAAGCTGTGCTGCCGTGTCACTGGGATGTGGCTGTGCTGCCCGTGCTGCCAGCTGTGCTTTGGCTGTGGCCTATTTTGGTCCAGCTGGAGCTGAGGGCGCACGTCCTCATTTCAGGCCTGATGCAAGAGGCTGCACTGCAGACGACAGCCATGGTTTTTGGGAGCGTTTTGCCCTCTTTGCTGCCCCTTTCATGTTCTCTCAAGTAGCTGCTGCTTTTTTTTTTTTTTTTTTGTGGCTCCCCTTTCAAAGCTACTTTTTCTACTCGTAATTATTGTGATCGGGATAAGAAGAGGCTCCTTCAACAAAGTCTTACATGCTGCTTGGGAGAAAGGACGCTCAGCTGTGTCCTCTTCAGCCCATCCATGTGATTCTCCATCTGGCACTCTTTTATATCGTTTGAACATTTGATATTTTGGTCTGAAAGCCATGTCTGTGGAGTTATTTTGGAGAAATCGACGTCTCCCGCTGCCGCCACGTGCTCTAGCTTTGCAAGATCTCCAGCACTGCAGCCATGCTTTCTTTTGGTCATTTTGCTATCATCAGTTATCACCTCCTAAATAAGACCTCGTGGTCTGCGGAAGTGATTGCAGTGCTGTTTCACAGCCCTGCTGGCTGTGCAGGAGCTCTGTGGAGCTGGGTGCTGTGATGCTCCAGGCAATGAGACGTGTGGGCAGGCTGCAGTTTGGGCTGGCAGCAGGTGGAAATGAGTTTGTCCCCAGGAGGTGCCCAGCTCCTGGCTGTGGGATGGTGTTGCCCCGTTCCAAGAGGCAGAACTGGGGTCTGTTGGAGATGGAGCAGCCCCAGGTGTGCGTGGAGCAGCCCGTGTCCCCTTTTGGTGCAGTGTGATGCTGGGCAGGGTTCATGGAACATCTTGGTTTATTTCAGCCCAAAAACAGTGCCTCTGGCCTTGGAATGCAAAGCTGCTGTCTGTCCTGCAGGAATGTGCTCCCTCAGATGTCTTTATGGGCTGTTGGAGGTTGGGCCTGAACTCGGCTCAAGTTGGGAAGAGCTCATGCAAGCACTGGGGGACATTTCTCTGCTTTCCCCATACCTTTGCATTGACATTTATGCTGCTGGTGCTCCTATCACACTGACCTGTGGGCATCCAGCTCCGTCCATGGGCTGCTGGCTGCCCAAGAAGCTCTAATGAGCAAAACGCTCGCTGAGGTTGGATTGCAGGATGGTTTTGGACCAAACAGAGGGCTTGCAGCCCCAGCTCTGGCATGGTCCAAGCTCACGTTGCAAGCTCAGCTGTGTTCCTGAGGGCTCCAACCCCACAGGGAGACAGCATCAGAGCTCCCATGGCCCTCAGACCTGCCCTGGCCCTGCTGCAAAGCATTACCCATTCCTCATCCTGGTGCTGCACCGTGGCCCAACGTGGCTCCAGAACGGTGGAGATGTAGCATGGGGGGACACGGTTGGTGGGCATGGTGGGATGAGTTGGAGTTTGGTGACCCGAGAGGTCTTTTCCAACCTGAATGACTGTGATTCTAAGGCTGCCCGGTGGATGCTTGACCTGGCTGCTTTGGTGGTTTCCCCTCCCATGCCCCATCCTGCTGTGGGTACCAGGGGATGCAGCTCACTGTGTTCCCACAGGAGGGAGGCTTAAAAAATCTGTGCCGGCTAAAGAAAAAAGTTAATGTGAATTTAACTGACTTCTGCCCTGCAATTAAAGCCATTCGAGCCCATTGGGGCTCTGAGTTTACATTCTTTACTGAGGCACAGTGTGTAATTATATATGTATAATTTAAACTGTGCATATGCATGTGTTCCTATTATACACCAAGGAGCAAAGGAAATTATCCAGGAATTAAAGGGGGAGGAGGGTGCAAGCACTGAGAATGGCTCACTTGTGTGGATGTGGTGGCAGGGGGAAGCTGGAGGGCTCACATCCTCACCGCTGCGAGCATCTCTGGGCCAGGCCTGCCCAGTGCTGGCTGCTGGCAGCCACGAGTGAGGAATAACCCTTCGTGTTCCTGTGCTGCACCTGGTGGGCACTGTGCTGCAATCAGAGGAACCTGGAGCTGCAGAGAGTGCTCTGCGTGGCTCCTGATGGGTGAATATGTGGGCAGCTTTCATGCTGCTTTACAGAAACCACCCTGAGATGGTTCTGTAGGGCAGGGGATGTGCAGAGAGGTGGACGCGTCTTTTTCTCTGCTCCTTGGCATTGTTCTAAGCTGGCCCAAGGGGATGAGGCACAGACAGGAGAGAGCTAAATAAAGCCAGCTTGTCAGCACTCTGTGTTCCTTACAGCTCTGTAACCCCTGCCTTTCACCCTTACAGCCACCTCTAATGGGACACTGGATGGCCTGGAGAACCGGGAAGGAGGGGTCTGCCAGACACGCTCCATGAAGATCGTCATGAAAGTGGGGCAGGGTGAGTGCTGGTGTGTGGGCACCAAGTGCCTGGTGCAGGAGAAGGGCTTCCTTTGGCTGCGTTTAGTCTGAGCGAGGCAAGCTGGGGGAGCTGAGGGGTGAGGAGCTGCTTTGTTCCTTGCTAAGGCTGTCAGGTTGAATTGGTTCTGTTTCCATGCAAATAAGTTGCAGCTTGCAGCAGGCTGCCATTCCTGGGGTGCTCATCATCCCTCCACACCCACAGAGGAGCTGAAAACCCTTCCCATTTCCCTTTCTGCCCAGCCGCCATCGTAGGCCTTCAAGTTGTCCTCAAATGGCTTTGCTTCCTGATGGAGCTTCCCCCAGCTGTGTGTTATGGCAGCATGTCTTTTTGGTTGGGAAGCTGAACCAGGGCCCTGGACCCAGCATGAGGTTGTTTCTGCGTTCTGAGGATGATGAGGCCAGGCCAGTTGCTGTTGAGAGCATGGACAACTTTCAGAGTTGATTCAATGGGCTTCAGGGTCTCTGCCCTGGAGCCTCCCTTCCTGTGCTGCTGAGTGCCTCCAGTTCCATCCATGCCACAGGCCTGTGTTGGCCCCACCATGGATGCAGAGCTCCTGCTGCCTGCTTCCCATTATTTTGTTTTCACGTTGGGGCCAATATTTATAGCAAACAAAAGAAGCAGTGCTGCAGCCCTGGCAGCCTCCCTTCCTTCGTGGTCTTCCTGCTGCCCTGCAAGGAGCGCAATGCAGCCCACGCACAGGGGGTTGGAAAGCATGAAAAGATGTCGGGTGTGGGATGGGAAGCACCTTCCCCCGAATGCTGCATCCCCATGCCTCTTCCAGGAGGAGCCCATCTGCACAGATGTTCCCTGGCTGCATCCTTGTGTCAAGGTTCTCTTACCGTTGGGCTTGCCACTCTTGTGTGTTTAAGCCACAGCAGAGTGGCTGTGCTGGGGTGGCCAGCTGTGGTAAGGTTGTCTTGAGATTTCTTATCCATCACTTCTCCTCCCCTCAGATCCAAACGCGGTGATCCCGGAGCAGCTGACGACGAGTCGGCCCAGCAAGGAGGCAGACAACACCGTGAAAATTGTGACACAGAGCCCACGCCACAAAGTCCCCACGGTGGAGGAGCCTGGCAAGCCAGGTAACTTCTGCAGGAATGTGCTGTGCAGGCTGGAGCTGTGCGGCCTGCGGGGTGCCAGGGTGGCTCCGTGCTGAGTTTGGCGTGCGTGCTGCAGGATGCTGGGCACTGCATCCCTGCATCCCCAGCATCTCACGGCCCAGCTCTGCACCGGTGGCCCAGTGAGGTGCTGCTGAGCAGAGCTCTCAGGCTGTTTTCCTGGCTCCGGGCTGTGCTGGCAGCGGTGCAGCAGAGAAGTGCTGTTTCAGCACACTCCTCCTCCTCCTCCCTCTGCTGCCCATCTGTTCCTCCACGTACATCTGAGAGGTTTTGGAGGAGTTGAGGTCCTTGGGTTTTTGAGCCGAGCCAGTGTGAAAGCCCTTTGAAGGTGGTTTCCTGAGTTCCTGACCCTGCTGAGAGAAAAGTGAAATCAGATGAAGTAGGGAAAAGTTGCTCTTTTCTTCTCCTGCGGCGCAGCCAGCCAAGCGACCGCCCCTCGGGGGCCAGGGTCAGCAGGAGGTGGGGGTCAGTCATCGGATATTGCAGGGCTCTGGGCACCAGACCCCGAGATCCTTACTGTGTGCAGAGCTCCCAGGGTGCAGCCCGGTCACGGCCCAGCGCTGAGCCGTGTGCTGGGTCTGGCGGGGGGGGGGGGTTGTGAGATGTCCCATGTGGGGCTGGGTGGGAGGGCAGGGAGCCCAGCTGCTACACTGACGCCCATCTCCCTTCCTCGCAGGCTCCGTCAACCAGAACGGCCAGGAGACCCAAGGTCCCAGCGACGGGTTCTTGAGCTCCAAGGTCGCCGTTTTTGCCGCCATCGGCGCAGGCTGCGTCATCTTCATCCTCATCATCATCTTCCTCGTCGTCCTCCTGATCAAGATCCGCAAGCGGCACCGGAAGCACACGCAGCAGCGGGCCGCAGCCTTGTCCCTCAGCACCTTGGCCAGCCCCAAATGCAGCGGGAACGCCGGCTCAGAGCCCAGCGACATCATCATCCCCTTACGGACTACAGAGAACAACTACTGCCCGCACTACGAGAAGGTGAGCGGGGACTACGGGCACCCCGTCTACATCGTGCAGGAGATGCCCCCTCAGAGCCCAGCCAACATTTACTACAAGGTGTGAGGAGCAGCCTGGGCACGCCACGCAGGAGCGCCCGATGGGGCCGGCGGCGGGAGGCAGCGTGGTGCCCGGCCGCGGCACGGCGCGGGAGCGCAGGGGTCTGGCGCCTGGCAGCGCCGTGCTCACCCGTGCGCTGCCTCTCCCTCTTTGTATTTAGTTTTGTAGTTCTCAGCTTTTGTAATCCCAAGACTTTGAGGGTGAGCCGCCAGCATCCTCCTCTCCTGCTCGGACTGTGGCTGCAGCGCGCGCTCTGCCTTCCCGCGCCCGCCTGCGCGCCTCCGGCACCCGCGGACTCCCACCTCCCCTTCTGCACTTTGGGATTTCCCCTCGTCGCCTCCACGCCAAGTGCCCGTGCGGGGGGCCTGGGAGCTGCGACGGACGCCGAGAGGAGCAGCGAGGAGCCCCGGGAGGAGGAGGATGCTTCGCCCAGGTGCCGAGATGCAGAGAACTGTGCAGGGAGGAAGCTGGCAAACCCGATTTACTACTACTACTATTATTATTATTATAATTATTTTAATTTTTTTGTAACATTTTTATTTTTGTGAATCGTGGCGGGAACCCCCCCGCCCTGGGCACATGCCACAGCCTCCTTCCAGCACGCCGTCCTGCTGGCGCAGGCAGATCCGCCGCTGCCGTTTTAAACTTTTGTGTTCGTAGCTGTTGACTCTTGTTTTAGTCTCTTTATAAAAAGAAAGAAAGAAAAAAAAAAAAAATCACATAAATGATGTCTCAAGCATTCAGCGCGTGGGGCTGCGAGCACTCCTTCTCTGTGGAGCAGCAGCAATCCTGGGCAACCCCAGGGTATCCTCCTGCCCAGGGCTCCGGGCAGTGCGGGGCAGAGGAAGGCCCCGTGCAGGTTCCCGTCAGGCTGGGACTGCTGGAAGCAAAATGTGGAGCAGCTGGGGGTGGAGGGAGGGCAGGGCTGGCAGCACGTCCCTTGTCACCACTCCCGTCCCAGAGCTGGGGCTGCAGGTGGCTGGCCCGGGGTGCAGCCCTGCAGCGCTTCTCCTTGGGAAGCAAAACTGGAAAACAATCATACAGGACATTGCCAGGAGCAAGCTGATGTCTGGGTCACCATCCATCCATCCTTCCATCCATCTTTCCATTCATCCATCCAGGCAGGGCTGCTCGCCCTCGGGGAGCTTCACCCCCCTCCTTGTCACCTCAGCCTCATCGTGCCCTGGCTCATGTTTGCAGGGGAGGTGTTGCGGTGCCGCGGCGCTCAGTGCTCCACGTGCAGCCATCCCGCAGCCTCTGATGCAGTTTCTCCAAGCCCAGCCCCCCTGGCTGCTCACCCAGCCCCTCCATCACACCGCGCTGTGCCACTGCCTGGCCCATCTCATGCCCTGAAGTGGAAGGGCTGAGCTTTGGGCTGTCCTGGTGGGACGCTCCCAGCTCTCTGCCACCCTGGATGCACGCTGGGGCCGGCGATAACAGCCCTGTGCCCTGCCCTTCTCAGCCCTCGCGTTCCTTTTTCCTTTCAGAAGTAGCTGCTTTTGCTCAGGGAGTGAGTGTGGGGTGAGGGGGGGCTGCTGCCTGCCGTGTGACCCCTGCCCTGCTTCTCGCCCTGCTCCGGGCACGTGCCTGCGGCTCCAAACCAGGCTGCAAAGTGCCCAAAGAGCGAGAGAGCTGCTCTGCCAAAGTGCCTTGATGAGGAGAGGGCCGGGGGTGGCAGGAGGGGGCAGCCCCGCGGTGCCATCGGGGAGGGGCTGGGGCAGGAGTGCGGTCCTGAGCGGAGCGTTCCTTTGTGTTGCTTTGGTTGTGTTGTTTTGAGGTCGGGATGGAGCAGTGCGGGCGGCCCCAGCTCTGCTCCCCTCCTCTCTGTGGGCATCCCTCTCTCCTCACCCTCCCACAGAACGCCCTCCAGACCCCCTCAGCCCTTTGCCTTCCCCTACGGGTGTCTATGCAGATGCTGCGCTGCGCCGGCGCTGCCCCTGGCTGTGGGCTCTGCTCTCCATCGCGATAAATTGTGTCTTAAAAAATAATAATAATAATAATAATTTAAAGCAAAGCCCTCAAATTCCCCCCAGAATAACGGTATGGAAGTCCCCAGGGGCTGTGGCAGCAGGGAGGGAGGCGATGTATAGAGGGAAGGGCTGGGTGAGGAGCCCCATGCCAAAACCCGACGGCCGCATCCTCACGGCGATCACCGAGCAGCCGCGTCCCCTCTGCAGCTCCATGGTGTGGGTGGAGATGGGCAGACCTTGTAAATAGGTGTGCAGGAGCGGGGAGTGGAGCTTTCGGGTCTGGCTGAGCCCTCGGTGCTGTGCCCTGGCACACGGCGTCCCTTTCTGCTGCTCGCTGTGAGCGCTGCGCTTGGTTTTGGGTTGTTGGTATTTCGGTTTTTGTTTCTGGTTTTTGTTTTATTTTTTTTTTCCCCCATTGTTGTTTCCTTTTTGTTTCGTTTGGTTCGTGTAAATAGTAGTCTTTTTTGGAAGAGATAATGTAAAGATGTTTTGTATAAACTCTGAATTATTTTCTGGTTGCTTTTTCTTAGAAAAACAAACAAACAAACAAACAAACAAAAAAAAAGAGAAGTAAAAAAAAAAAAAGGAAAAAAAAAAAGGAAAAAAAAAAAAAAAAAGAAAGAAAATTTAACCATGAGAACGGGTGTAAAAACATTTGTCATACTGCAATCCACCCCAGAGCCCCTGCGGGGGTCCCACGGTGCCCCTCGGGGGGGTGCTGGGTGCTGCTGTGCAGGGTGCTCCCCGTGCCCCACTGCAGGAGGGTGCTGAGCGCGGGCTGAGGGCAGGGCAGTGCAACATCAGCGATAGGAGCGTCCCATTCGTCTCTTTTTATTTTAAAAAGACCCATCAAAGCAGATGGAAACCCCAAAACCTCCGTGCGGCATCCTGAGGTCCTGCTCTGCTGTTGCAGCCCTGCAGAGCTGCTGCTGTTGCAGGGCCCCTTTTTCCCTCTGCCAGGGGGCAGCCAGGGGACGGGGTGCCATCGCCCCCAGCGCAGGTGACAGCCCTGGGCACCCCGAGTCCCAGCTGCCCTGGGAGCCCGAGCTTTAAAGCCACACAGGGAAACCAGCAGGCAGCCCCAACCCTGCCCCCTGCACAGCAGCACCCTGCGCCGCCCCTGCATTTCAGAGCTGTGCCCACGCGCCCCCTGCATAGCATCCCTCGTGGGGTCCCTGCAGGCACATGCAGGGATGGGGGCTGATGCCGCTGCCCCGTGTGCCCCTCCCCCCCCCACGATGCGGGCTTTTGTTTCTTCTCGCCATGTCCCTCCTTTCTCTCCCTCTCCCGGCCCTCCCTAGCATATCATCGCCATCGGTAACCCGCTCTGTGGCAGCTGAGCGCCATGGAGCCGTGATGGAACCTGATATATTGTTAAATAAAAGGTTTTTTTCCTATGGAAACCTTGGCTGTCTCCCGTGTGCTTTTTTGCTGCCCCAAAGTTGTGTTCTTATCACTCAACCTGGCTCCAAAGGGCTGGGACAGTGCAGCATGGCATCAGCCAGGTGCTGTTTGTGTGCGTGGTGAGTGCTAAAGCGGGGATTTTGGTGCTGTTCTGCTGCCATTTTGATGCTGTTTTGGTGCTGTGTGTGCCGTTCCCGTGGAGCAGCTCTGCACCCAGGGATGGGGAGGGGGTCAGCGTCTGCTCCCCGAGGAGGCTCATCCCTCCTGGCTTCATTTAATAAGTTACTAAAAAGTTCTTTCAGGAAATGGGACACCAGTAAATCCTTAACAGGAGGTGCTTTAACCGGCTCCAAAACGGGCTCCACCGTGGCCGTAGCTCCAGCTCTTTACAAGCTGCTGTAAGGTAGAACTTGGGGTGCCGTGGAGCAGCGTGTGAGGGGTGGCTGCTGTGGCTGTGGGATATGGGACGCCGGGTGGGGATGCAGTATGGAAGAGGCAAGGTGTGTGCTGGTGTCCATGAGCCGCCTGCATGTCAAACCCAGGGAGCCCAGGGCAGGAGCAGGGCTGGTGCTCCCCTGTTTGCCCAACGGCTGCTCTGAAAGCATACAGCAGAGCTGAGGCTGTGCCTATTGCAGACCTCGTGTGGGCTGCGGGTGCTGAGCTGCTCCGTGTGGTGCTGCTGCGATGGCCGAGGGGATGAGTTGGGTTTGTGGGGTCTCAGGGGAAAAAGGATTTTAGAGAATGGAGGAGGAACTTCCCCTTGGCAGATGTGCAGAGGGTGTTGGATGAGGTGGGACGGGGAGATCAAAGCGGCAGGTGGGTCTGCAGCACTGTGCCAGCAGTGGGCAGGGGCTGCCTGAGCCTGGGGTCAGGGGGAAAGCGGGCCCTGGGGTGTGACATGTGGGCTCATACGTGGTTTGTTGCTCTGAAATCCCTCTCCTCCGCATGCTTTGATCCCGGTGTGAATTAAATAATGCTTTTAATTTTAAACAGCTTCACGGGGCCCTTATGGCCAAAGGGGAAAACCACGAGCACCCAGCCTGCTGGGACCTGCCTATAGCCCTGCACCCAGCAGGGGGGCATTGCTGCAGGGCCGGGGGGCACCGACAGCACCCAGAGAGCGGCACAGAGCTGCCAGCCCCTGGAGTCCCACCCTGCGTGGCCATGGGCACAGAGCAAGGACGGACCCAACGGTGCATCATCCCCTATTGCACAGGGCTGTGCTTCCATCTGCTCACAGCCCCGACCAACGCAAGCAGTGGTGATGGGAAAGGCTTTGCTCAGAGCATCCCTGCTCCCAGCTGCAGCACAGTGCAGGCTGTGCTCCCCAGGGCCAGCCGGTGCAGGGGGATTGGCAGCATCTCGCCGTGAGCCTGCAGATCTGGAGAGCCCATTACAGCTGCTGATGCTTTTGGACATCCATCAGGCCTGGAGAAGTTATTTTAATTATAAAACGTAAAGGAGCTTTCTGTCAAGTTTATTAACTCACCCTTGGCCAGATCCCACCCGATTGGCCGCCAGCTCCGTGCAGCCAGCAGCGCCTGCACACCCTGAGCCGTGGGCAGGGGCCAGGCAGTGTGGGCACATCTGCAGTGCCAGCTGCATGCAGCACTTCCTGCTGTGGTGTGAGCCGGGTTCTGGGCGGCACAGCAGTGTGCTCAGGGAGCATCTCCTCTGCAGACCACTCCTGTGCAGCACTGCGGAGC